TGTGTGTGTGTGTGTGTGTGTGTGTGTGTGTGTGTGTGTGTGTGTGTGTGTGTGTGTGAGAGAGAGAGAGAGAGAGCTCCGGTATATGACTCATCTCACATCTCATATAGTGCATGTGCTTAGGCATCACCATGGAAACCATACGACTCTTTTAACTCCAATGAGAAGGCCTATATGTTTGAAGTGTTTGTGTAATTTCACCTGAGAGAAAAAACAGTCTAAGAATAGTCCCAGCTGTAAACCACACCGCAAATATGCTTTGAAAAAAAAGTCATTGCTACATGCTACTAGCACAGGAATGTGTGCTAGTAGCCGGTTATTGCTTGGAGGTGGTCGATACTTTGGTAAGATAATATACTGGCGAATTACAAACCTCGCCATTTATAAGCAGTACAGGGATTTATTTACAGACTAGTGGAAACGTCAGTACATGCAAGACATACCAGCATAAATTGGGCTACTCTGCAATGTCATCACCTGATATATGAGTGACACCTTCATTCTAGATTTTCTTAATGTACAGAATTTAACGTTATTCAAATTTGCCTGTATGCCCACTACACACCACAAACGTGTATGTGAACGGATAGAGGAGAGTGTTTCAGGGGTATAAGAACCATGTTGCTGGGATATTCTGAGCCTTAGTAATGTCAAAACAAGACAAAGAGTCTACATACATACTGGGGTCCTAGACCCCTTGATTGACAATTGAGATCCCCTGAAAGCGTCAACAGCTAAATATTAGAAGGTCTCTAATATCAAGACAACTTGCAATTGTCACTAAAATGTCTTTTAAAAGCTTACTAATGGCCAGCAGTTTTCATTATTCAAACCGCAAAACGTTTATTCACATATATGAATAGTGAGTGCAAGAGACTGCCGTAACGTGAAAGGACACAGCCAGCCAGAGCCTCAACAAGTTGGGCGAAAGCCAGCCTGTCTTCACTTCAGTTTGTGACCTAAACAAACACACAACCTCGCGATTGACACCGGGTATTTCGCACACTGGTAAACAGGATATATTGTTGTCCTGGAGTCAGTAAGTTACATTAGGCTTTTTTTTTTTAGCATATGCATCATACCTCATATGCTCTTCCTGCTAGCAGTTTCTGCTTTAAGTTAATACAAGCTGACTTTAGATCTCATGACTTGTTTGTACTTGAGCTACTCTTACACTAAATTGTAACTGCATACATGTTGTTTCCTGCTTGTGATCCCATTCCACTCACTCAGGTCAGGTCAGGTCACTAATGTCTTCAAAAAACTGACTCATGAGAATCTTGGGAAACTAAGGGAAATTCAGTGCCATTCTGACTTGGTGGGAGCTGTTCAGCAAAAGTGCTAACACAAAGGAGAACCACTGGCAAGAAAGAACAATAAAGGATTACACTAACCTCAGGGCCAGAGATTCTAGAGACGCCGCTTTCGCTGTCTCCCTCTGAGAAAGAGCCTGATTCGTCGCTGGAGTTGCCACCACTGGCACCAAATCCATGTTCACTTTTGATATTGGTGCAACCCTGAGAGAAGACCAGCTCACCGCTGAGGGGGTTCCTCTGCTCCACCACCCCAGCCAGGCAGTGAGGGAGTCCAGAGGTGGAGCCTGAGTGCGGGGATGAGGAGAAGTCAAACTGGGGAAGGTTGAAAGGCGAGCTACCGCTGCCTGCATCCTCTGGGTAAGAGAAGGAGGAGCAGGAGCTGGAGGTTTGGGTTCGGGGCTCAGAAGGGGAAGGGGAGTGGGCTGATGTCTTGATGGGAACAGGACAGCTGGTGGTGAGGCATGACCGACCAGAAGAAGGAGCTTCTACCTGCATCAGAGTTGAGACCTTTTTTCTGAACGTATCTTCCGTGTAAGAATGGGCCAACATTTGTTGCTCGCCAGCTGCTGAGGAGAAAATCACACTGGCTCTGTCGAGATCCCCCTCATGTTTAGAGGAGGACACTTTGGAAACTGGCCTTTCCGTGTTCTTGCCAGTAAGCGCTGTTGGTATGACATCTGCGATGTCTGTCTTGAGGACCACTCGACCCAGAGATTCCCTCTTATCCCTCTGCCTGTCTTTGACCAATTCCCTGTAGTGGTTGAGGGACAGTCTGTTGGTGAGTAGCTGCTGGATGGTGGTGCTGGGCACACCGCTGAGATCTAGGCCGCCTCTCTGGAGATAGGAGCGCAGGCAGGAAGAGGGTGACCCTCGGCTCGGAGAGTGCTCGGCTGCTACTGGAACCCCTTCTACCTCAAGCTCCATCTCCAGTACCTCCTCGGTACACAATTCTGGGTTGCAACCACTCCTTTCATCTCCTTCTTCCTCTAACACAAATGGTTCTTCTTTGATCCTGGAGGGTGTAAGAAGAGTTTGTGGAGCAGCACTGCTGTCTCTGAGTTGTGAACTCACAGGGCTGACTGAGGTATGGTTTGCCAAGATGACATCATCACCGCTATCATGGTCTTCTCCGTTGTGCTTGTCATCGCAGATCTGGTACTGATACTTCCTGTATTTAGGACATTGAGAAAGGTCAGCCGGAAGCGATGCAGTGCTTGCTCTGTGATTGGTCTGCTGCCTTGTCTCTGCAGAATCATCCGAGGATATTGCCTCAGAAAAGCTGGCATCGTCCGCCGTGATGTCATCGTCATATTCCACCTTGCCATTACTGGCGTGCTGGCTGTCGTTTTGTAACTGGGCTTGAAGAAACCGAAAACAAGAGTCCTCTAAGTTGTGAACACCCAGGAAGTCAGCGCACAGGATGACCTCGTGAATGTTTTCTCGACATAAAACCAGCTTGGCTGTGTAGGCAAACTGGAGCAGTGGAGCAAAACCCTTAGCTGTCACCTGTCGACGAGAGAAGCAGGATATGAAGGAATGGTTTTACTCAGTGCCTTAAGTATGTCACTATAAAGCAAGGAATCTAGGTGGGTATGTTCATTGCATATCTCGAGAACCATTCTTTTGATGTACTTCACACTTGGCGGGTGTATTGCTGGGGACCCAAGGACGTGTTGCTTAACACGTCCAATATAAATAAACTTTGAATAAACATTCAATAGTGCTTTGTCCATTAGCTTCATGCCTCTGCGGACTAAATCACGCATGTAGACCGCAGCGGGCCTTTACAGGCCGACGTTCACTGACTGACGTTCCCTTTTGCTGCCAAATGCTGGATACACTTATGTTACACCCAAGCTCTTCTTCACTTCCCTGGAGTCAACGAACAATGAGCAGTTCTCGACAACGCCACAAGCAGCATTTCATGGGAGCCAAGTTATCGGCTAGCTCTGAACAGGCGGGTAGGCTAGTAGCGTAAAAATTGTAAGCACTGCCACACATCTGGTTACCTAGCATCCTCCAACTTCTCAAAGGAAATCAAGTCCAGGCCGTACCTTTCTGCTGTAAGAAGTGTATTTTAACTCAACAAGTTTAATTTCTTCTGTTTTATGCGTGTGACTACAGTGATTGTATGTTGGGCTGTGAGCACTGCCAAAACACAGGAGACCTTAATTCAATGCTGTGCCTGAACACATCTTGTGTAGAGACAAAGTGCTGCTCACGCTACTCCCACGGTGTAACACAGCTCTCTTACACCAAATGAAGCTCTAGCGTAAGTTCAGACAGGAAGACTATACTCTCGCATGCCTAAGCCTGTAGTTTATCTCCCATACATCTGCCAATCACTCCTCATGCAGGCACACTCATTATTTCCTGGCTGTCAATGTTTGGGGCTGTTAATCATGATATCAGCTGTCTAGATCAGCTGGTCTCTCTCCCCAATAGCACAACGACACAACACAATGACATCGTTAGCCTATCATCTTGCTGCTGTCGATCTTAAATATGACTGTCTCTCTACCTTCAGTACATTCATGCTGCTGTTACGCAACCCTCCACCTCCCCATCTCCGCCCAATCTTCGCAGATTCATCAGCTTCATCAACTCATCATTCTGTCAGCCTCATCAGCCACCATCACCACCACAACTCGATCACAAATCTCCTCGTCGAGTTCAAGCGCCAAAGAATTTCTGCGTAACTCATTAACGCAGCATCTGTCATAATAAATGTTAACTCCTAATCATTCACTTGTCTCCTGATTGAAGTGCCTCTGCCTGATTTAACATTGTCATGCGACCAAAGGGCTGCAAACAAGGGCTAAGTAGTGTCAACGGTGCCAGAGCTACCGTAAAGACACCTTGCGGTGGTCAAGCTGTGCCTGTGAACCGTTTGTGTGTGTCTGTTAGCACGTTAGCAGCTGTAGCAACAACAGCACTGTGCATGTGATTGCTCACAAACACACAACTTCTGCATGGCACCTGCCAATTATGAAGGGCCGCCCTAAAGACTAAGGATTGGTTCTGCTATGCAGGTTTCTTTTTATTTGAACTCCATAATTGTTTCCACCTAGTTCTAACAATGAAACCAAGGACATTGTCTTCAGTCTCTAGCTGGGCAAAGCATTTAGAAAATGACTTGTTAGTCTAGTGTACAGGGCTTTTGTTCGCAAAGATATTGATAACATAACAACGTATGTAACCAAGGGTGGACAAAATATTAGAAGCATCTATATTTTTCAAAGGAGTTTCCATTATTCTAGTCAAAGAGTATTTTAGGACTCCAAGAGATTCATTATACTGTAATTAGTGCGGTTTCTTCACATTCAAAGAAGAACAATGTTGTAAGTCACAACATTCTGACATCATTTACGGAGAAACACAACACAGATTGTGACTTTAACGAAGAGGTCGTGAGCTGAAAATGGATGGAACAGAATTTTACCCACGAGCAACCACTCCACTTCCTCCATCGTCAGTTATTTTGCCACATTCCCGCCTTGTTAATCTTATTCGTCTTGTCTTCTTGCCTGGATCCTTTTGCGCGCCGCGCCCACCCCCCCCCCATCATCTCCTCTGCTTTCTTCTCGTTCACTACAGTCAGCTTCTACTGCATGTGCGTTCATATGCGGAGTGTGTGAGAGAGCGTGTGCTGCTGCATGTATGTGCTTGCTCCATATTGCTGTGTGTGCATGTGTGTACATGGGTGCGCATGTAAGCCTATTTTCAGCTTGCATCAGCACCGAGAGGAGAAGCTGCACCGCACACCGGTACCAACCTCGCTGATGAGTAGCAGCAGAGAGAGAAATGGCATAGGAGAAAGATGGGATCAAATATGCATGGTCGTTTTCCACTCTAAATCTAGTTTTCACCTTTTATTTATATGTTTATACCTTGTGTCCTAATTTTTTATGTTCAGACACAGAAGGAAAATGTATCGACAGAAGGGGATTAATGACCAGATGAATTCTTCAGACTGATAAAAACACCAGATCAGAGCTGTATGTGCACTGAGAGAGTTTTCCCAATTACACAAATGGTATTAATCGATCATCATAGCCACTGTTCCTGCCAATACTGTGAGCATGGATTTACCTCTGTGTCTGACGTACCATGACATGATTGAAAAGACAGCTAGAATTATGTTTTTGAGGCCAACGAAGCCACGGAAACTACATTCAATATGTGTGAAGAAATACACAGATATTTCATTTAATTTGATTTAACACCATGTTACACTGGCCAATCACACCAGCTATTAAAACACTGTTGTGGAAAGATGGATTGCTTTCAATCACAGGGGTGTAGTAAATCCATTAAACCAAAAGCTGGCGTGTTAACAATAAGCTCACTAGGTACAGCTGTTTGGCAATTAGCACCGTGAGGTAAAACCGCCGTAGCACTTACTGGTGGGACCAGACCTTAGAATCAAATAAGCGGTTAGTTTGAGGTTAGTTCAGCAGAAATGGACTTGAAGCAAAAAATATGCTTCAGGTTGCAGCTCTGTGCATAAAATGGGACTAAAGAATAAGTCGATTTATACACTAAAGTAGATTTTTATCAGATGCGCATGACTAAAAACATGTGAGGTGTATAGCGCCTGTAAGTGTATTCTTTATTGCTGTGTTATGAGAAGAACCACTGGTGTTTTGCCAGATACCAGTAATATATATAGCAGTGTCCTTGGAACTGAAAAATTCTAAATTCTACACCTAACCTGTTTACCTCTATACCAAAATGAGTTCCAGTAATTTATGCGAGGAGTGAACGGACAGCAGAGAGGATGTGGTCGTTAGGGGGTGGAGGCCTGTGCAAGTGATCACTGTAAGGTGGAGTTACGCGGTCATATTAATCAATATGACCGTACCGTACAACAAAAGCCCTTTTTCAGCCTGTTCAAGGCTTCGCCGTTGTACCGCCTCGCTGCTCTGTATAAAAGGTACAAACACGGAATGGGGTGGACAGAGCTGTTCCGCCGTTAAGTCGGCAGTGGAGGTAGTAACGGAGCCGAAAAAGAGGGACAAGCTGGCATGGCAGGACTACTCACACACACACTGGACGCTTGTTTATTCAAAGATCATTAATATTGAACGTTATCCAAATTGCACCAACTTCGACACTGCACGTCCTTGGGAACCCAGCAAAACACAAGCCGAGTGTGAAGTAGATCCAATGAACGGTTCTCAAGATGTGTGAAGGACACGCACACACATTCCTTGCTTTATAGTTACCATAAAAAACATTCAATCTTAACCATTTGTTACGCTGAAAACGCACTAGGCAGCGTGGCTTGTCACGATTACTAAATTTTTCTACAGCCGAGAGGCATTTTCATGTGTTTCAGGTTTGGAAAAGCCACAGGACTAGCCACAGGACTTTCCCAGCTCAAACTGAGATAACACTGAGGACCTTATCAGGGTCATTGGCCCAGATTTTGAAAGATTTGAGTTTCCCTGTAACATTTCCCTTTTAAAATGACCCCAAAACGTCTCCTTGTGGAACTCCTCGGGTTCCACTTTGGCCCTTTACCTTGTCTGGCAGGTTAATGATGGGCTCCGCTTCGCCTTGCGACCCGTTGTGACCCAGCAGGGCCTGCAGGAAGTAGCGGCTGCTGGCGGCGAGTACGGCCCTGTGTGCGCGCACCTCCCTGCCCTCCACCAGCACAGTCACGTCACACAGGATGCCCTGCCGCCGCTGCTCCTCCAGGCTCAACAGCACATTGGCACAGTGGACCTTGGACTCGTACACGTACATGGGCGCTGCCGCCTCCCCATCCCGCTCCTCGCCTGCCGACATCACTCTCTCTGGCACCCTGTACAGAGGAAAGAAAGAGGCTAGGACACTGTAGCATGGGGCGGGTAAATTGGTAGCAAAGTAGAGTAGTATTTTAAAGTGACAAATTGTCGTGAGTTGACTGCTAAAAAAAATTGTAACTGCTGTATAGAAGCATGAGGGAATTTGTAGTGAATGAAAATGAAGAGCCTTCAAATATCAACAGTATTCATATGTACGATATGATCTTCGAATTCAGGTTCCCCTTTCAGAGTCAATCACAATTAAAGCTGCGAGCAGCGATGAACGGGCCCTCGCAATCTGCAGCGGGGGTGCCGGCGGGACTCCGGCCTGCGCGTCCGAGAACGTCCGCGACCGTCGTTTTTAATCCCGCGTGGACCGCCTGATGATGGAAATGATGCTTTGCAAATAGTCCGATGCTTCCTGTATCCTCTGCCTGGTGTGTTACAGGATGCGATGTGCACATATGCTGCAAATTTTGTAATTTTAGGACAAACGGTTGAGAAGTTATGTGTATTGATATTCAGCCACGCCTCTAAGAAGTTTATTGGTCCATATCTTGGAAACGAAAAGAGTTATCAAAAAGCTTTTGATAGGTTTTGATGACGTAGATCCAGTAATGATCCACAGCAAATCTGGTAGCAATCGGACCCAGCATGTAGGAGGAGCTTGCAAAAATGTGTTTTTGACTAAATTCAATATGGCGGAAAATCTAAGTAGGCGGAGCTTAGGGGTCTGAGAGGCTTTTTTTTAGATCTAGCGGAGTCGGACATGTGTGTCGATTTTCAAGTAAATCGGACATACTGGCCGAGGGGCGTCGCCGGTCCGATTTGTAGGGGGCGCTAGAGAGATATTTTTTTACACTCAAATATGCAAATTATGGCAGCAGAATTTCTACACCAGATCTGACAGGTGTGCAAAAATGGTGAGTTTTCATAAATTCCAAGTACCCCTACAAGCTCCATCCCCACAAAAATAAATATCAGAAATAATTAAAGCTGCGAGCAGCGATGAACGGGCCCTCGCAATCTGCAGCGCGTCGGGGGTGGCAGCGGGACTCCGGCCTGCGCGTCCGAGAACGTCCGCGACCGTCGGACGGCACATCCGCGAGCAAGACGTTTTTAATCCCGCCTGGACCGCCTGATGCTGGAAATGATGCTTTGCAAATAGTCTGATGCTTCCTGTATCCGCTGCCTGGCGCTACAGAACGCGTGCAAACATGCATTATGTTGCTCTGTGTCAAGTGTAAACCACATGGTGTAAAAGTAATGTAAATTGGAGGTGTTTATCACAAAATCCAGATTTCCTTTCGCCAGCAGGTGGCGCTGTGAGTATTAGGGCAAATTAGCTTGTATACATCCTCAGGCCATGAGTGTTATCAAGCATGTGAAGTTTGAGACTGTTTGGAACAAGTCCAGCTGAGTTACATCAGCTTCCTTCATGGGGAATCACGTAAAGTAGCCGCCCGCTACGGCTAAGCCATTCCGTCAAACGTAAAGCTTTTGATAAATTTTAATCACAACGGTGTTGTCATTGTATTGACAAAATTTAAAGTGGATCTGATGAAGTCCCTAGGAGGAGTTCGTTAAAGTATAGCGACTAGAAAAAGGCCAAAATCTATTGAAAAATGACACAAATATCAAAATTACCGACGTCCGGTAGGGTTTAGAGCATGGTCCCAAGAGACTTATATTTAAGTCTCCATAAGATACATGTGATTACCAAGTTTCATACATATAGCTGAAACGTAGCGCTGGGGCTGCTGTTTTGAAATATTGTAGGGGGCGCTACAGAGGCAATTTAAAACAGACGATTAAAAAAATCATATAACATATTTCTTCCAATGACCTTTGACACATGTACAAAGTTGCATGAGTTTTCGAGCATCCCAAGTCACTAAACCATCAGCTTCCTTTTTCATGGCGAACGATGCGTTGCCACGGCAACAGCGTTCAACAAAACTCACAATATTCATGATGATGCATCATCAATGTCTTAAGGCTATCCTTAACAAATTTGAGACTCATCAAGTCACCTGGCTAGGAGGTATAAATAAAAATATAGAATATGACATTTCCTTTAGCCAGTAGGTGGCGCTATGAGTTATTGAATATTTTTCAATTGAAGTACGTTTAGGCTTGAAGTAGCATCATGCATAAGAAGTTTTGTGCGGATTGGATAATGTACCTTGGAGTCATAACAACTTATAATAACTTATTTTTTCATAAACAATGAGGCAAAATGGCCGCCACGCCACGTCAAGGTTCTTCGGTGAAAACTCTAGATTTTGATAACTTTTAATTACAAAGGTCTTAAGAGCATACTGACCAAAGGAGAAGTTGATCACATAAATTCTCTAGGAGGAGTTCGTTAACGTACGAAGGCTGAAAAATGCAAAAACTGACAAAAAGCACAACTTCGCGGGTTTACTGTAGCGCCCCCTAGTGGTTGAATGCAAAACCATTGTCAGGGTATGTTATAGGATGCGATGTACACATGCTGAAAATCTGGTAATTTTAGGACAAACGGTTGAGAAGTTATGTGTATTGATATTAAGCCACGCCCCTAAGAAGTTTATTGGTCCATATCTTGTAAACGCTAAGAGCTATCAGAAACCTTTTGATACCTTTTGATGATCTAGATTCACTAATGATCCACAGCAGATTTGGTAGCAATCGGACCCAGCATGTAGGAGCAGCTTGCAAAAATGTGTTTTTCACTAAATTCAATATGGCGGAAAATGTAAGTAGGCGGAGCTTAGGGGTCTGAGAGGCTTTTTTGTAGATCTAGCGGAGTTGGACATGTGTGTCGAATTTCAAGTAAATCGGACATACTGGCCGAGGGGCGTCGCCGGTCCGATTTGTAGGGGGCGCTAGAGAGCCATTTTTTACACAGAAAGATGCATCCCTTTTCAGACTCTAAGTTCCACCCGACCTGACAAGTCCCCAAAATTTGGTGAGTTTTCATGCAAAGCAAGTACCCCCAAAATGCTCCCAAACGGCAAAAATAAGAATCATAATAATAATACCCCTTACAATTTCAATTGGGCCTCGCTGGCCCGACATTGTCGGTTGCTCGGGCCCTAATTAAAGCTGCGAGCAGCGATGAACGGGCCCTCGCAATCTGCAGCGTGTTGGGGGTGCCGGCGGGACTCCGGCCTGCATGTCCGAGAACGTCCGCAACCGTCGGACGGCGCGTCCGCGAGCGAGACGTTTTTAATCCCGCGTGGACCGCCTGATGCTGGAAATGATGCTTTGCAAATAGTCTGATGCTTCCCTTATCTGCTGCCTGGCGCTACAGAACGCGTGCAAACATGCATTATGTTGCTCTGTGTCAAGTGTAAACCACATGGTGTAAAAGTAATGTAAATTGGAGGTGTTTGTCACAAAACGCAGATTTCCTTTGGCCAGCAGGTGGTGCTGTGAGTATTAGGAGAAATTAGCTTGTAGACATCCTCAGGCCATGAGTTTTATCAAGCAAGTGAAGTTTGAGACTGTTTGGAACAAGTCCAGCTGAGTTACATCAGCTTTTTTTAAACGTAAAGCTTTTGATAACTTTTAATCACAACGGTCTTGACATGGTACTGACAAAATTTAAAGTGGATCTGATGTAGTCCCTAGGAGGAGTTCGTTAAAGTATAGCGACTAGAAATAGGCCAAAATCTATTGAAAAATGACACAAAAATGAAATTTGCCGACTTCCGGTAGGGTTTAGAGCATGGTCCCAAGAGACTTATATTTAAGTCTCCATAGGAGACATGTGCCTATCAAGTTTCATACATGTAGCTCAAACGTAGCGCTGGGGCTGCTCTTTTGAAATCTTGTAGGGGGCGCTATAGAAGCAATTTAAAACAGACAAGCCAAAAACCCATATACACTATGTCTTCCTATGACCTATGACACATGTACAAAGTTCCATGAGTTTTTGAGCATCTTAACCCACTAAACCATCATCTTCCTTTTTCATGGCGAACGATGCGTCGCCACGGCAACAGCGTTCAACGAAAACGCACAATATTCATGAAGATGCATCATCAATGTCTTAAGGCTATCCTTACTAAATTTGAGCGTCATCAGGTCACCTGGCTAGGAGGTATAAATAAAAGTATAGAATATGACATTTCCTTGAGCCAGTAGGTGGCGCTATGAGTTATTGAATATTTTTCAATTGAAGTATGTTTAGGAGCTTATGGGTCTGAGAGGCTTTTTTTAGATCTAGCGGAGTCGGACATGTGTGTCGATTTTCAAGTAAATTGGACATACTGGCCCGAGGGGCGTCGCCGGTCCGATTTGTAGGGAGCGCTAGAGAGTCATTTTTTTACACTCAAATATGCAAATTATGGCAGCAGAGTTTCTACACCAGATCTGACAGGTGTGCAAAAATGGTGAGTTTTCATAAATTCCAAATACCCCTACAAGCTCCATCCCCACAAAAATAAATCAGGCGGAGCTTAGGGGTCTGAGAGGCTTTTTTTTTTTTAGATCTAGCGGATATGGACATGTGTGTTGAATTTCAAGTAAATCGGACATACTGGCTGAGGGGCATCGCCGGTCCGACTTGTAGGGGGCGCTAGAGAGCCATTTTTTTACACAGAAAGATGCATTATTTTTCAGCTGGCTATATTCACCAGGCCTGACAAGTCTCCAAAATGTGGTGAGTTTTCATGTATGGCAAGTCCTCCAACCATGCGTACGTTTACCTAAACGGGTACAATTTCAATAGGGCCTTCGCTGGCCCGACGTCGGTTGCTCGGGCCCTAATAACCAGCTAGCCACTGTCACATCATTTGCATACGCTACCCAAGCAAGACTACTGATGATCCCTTACCAGCTAACAATGAAAAACACAACTAAAAGTAATATAGATATGAAGGGACCTTATGGAGGAAGACCTCACGGACACAAGTAAGAGAATATGAATTTGGGGAACATCTAGTTGTTGAGTCATTTGAGTTTGAGGTTTAAGAAGCCAATAACAAATTTATTTCATTCATTCCCCCAAATTTGGGGGAGAAATACT